AAAATACCAATGGCTGCCACCAGATTGCATACTTTCAATCCTTGACTTCAAGAAACCTTTCTTCCTTTGCTAGCCCCTCTTTGTATCTTGGCCAGGAGGAAAATTCCAAAGGAGAAGCCATGATTCGATTCACTCTCCACTACCTTCCTGTCTATTTCTTCCAAAAAACCCTTCACTTTTCTTCAACAAGTTCTTCTTCCCTCTCTTCTTCTTCCTTCCAAGTTTCTTCCCCCTCCCCAAAATTTTCTTCTCTTCCGATCTTATTAAACTGCTCAAATACCCATCTAACCACCATAGTTGTCAAGGCGACACCTAGGCAACAAGGTGCCCTTGGAGGCTCGCCTCGCCCAGTCGTCAAGCAGTTTTGTATACTGTCTTATAAAGTACTTTTGTATTGTTATTTTTTTGAGATTATAATTACAAAAGAGACATTATTAAACAAAAATATTCATTTTTTTGTGTTTATAAACTAATTTATTTTTAATATCTTTTTATTTGTTAGGGTTTAATCAACACAAACATTGCTAACTGCTTATTGAACCCTCAAAGACTTCAAAATCTGAACCAATAAGTAAGGGAAGAACTTAAATTTTGTCTAATCAACATCTTTCTTCTTCCACATTTCCTATAACAAAAATAGGGGTTCAGCCCCTATATTTTTTGTTCTTCTTTTCCTATAACAAAAATGGGGGTTCAGCCCCTATATTTTTTGAATTTTCTTTTCTTTCTTCTTTTTCTTCTCATAAATATGTTGATTTTCTAGACTTAAGCATGAAGTTTATGATCTTCTTATGAAAATTATGGATAGTTATTAAGGAAAGATGGTTATGGAACCTAGGGAACTACCCAAGATTTGGAATCTCAATCAACTCAGACTTAAACTATCAAGATATATGATGAAAAATAGTACCAACAAATAAAGAACTAATTAAAAAACTAACAATACAAGTTGAGAGACTTACCTCTTTGATTTAGCCTTGGTAGAACTTGAAAGAAACTCTTGCAGAGCCTAGGAATGTCACTTTTTTGATGTTTTGGGCCATGAAAATGATTTGCAATTGTTTCTTGATGCAAAAGAATGAATTTTTTAGAGGGTTTTTGCTTTTTAAAGTTAGAACATGAATATTAAGAGAAATGGGCAGTTTTGGCATGTTCTAACTCTAGCTTTTGAGTTTTTGTCAATCAATCAATCCAAGATTTATATGAATTTTTCTAGGGTTTCTTGTGCCCAATGGGGTTATTCTTGAACCTGTCTATGTCAGGCTTGAATTTGACCTCTTAGTGGCAAAAAATGTAAATTTGAAATGGCCAAAATGGCTCTTATGTCATTTCCTATTTTTAAGAAGAGTTACTTCGTGTTTTTGGGTTCTTTTAGTCTATTTGGCTTATCTTAATTGGTCTAAGGGCTAGTGGGGTTTAAGTGAAGGGCTGACATCACCCCCACCATCTTTAAGTCCTAGATTAGTGTAGATTGTGGATTATTTAATTTGATGTACACAAACTAAATCTTTTTGGTTCAATGGTCAAACAATGAACTTAGGTCATGAAATTTGACATGCTAGGGGTTTTTGGGTCTATGAACATGGTAGTGAGATTTTATTGGTCAAATGGAGTCTTTATGATGGAGATCTATGACTGACAAGCTTTAATCGATGGGATTAAAAGAAACATAATCTTGGTTTGATGATAAGTCAAATGAGAGAATTTGTGGTTGAAATTTGATGGGTAGGTAGTTTTGTATGTTTAGAATCTGATGGAAGAGATGGATTTTTTTTTATTTTTTTATTTTTTTATCAGAGGTAAGGATCAAGAGGTTTGGTTCAAATTAGAGTTTAGCTTAAGCTTCTCAACCGGTGGGTGGGCTCGAAATGTAAGCTTGTTTGTTTTAGAGGGAAATATTTGTGATTGAGATTGGTTGGGTAGATTATTTTGAGGTTTGAACTTAATGAGAGAGCCTTGGTCACTTGGATTGTAACTTTTGGCGTGGTTTAATCGTAAACATCAAATTGGAATATTTGCCAATGGGATGGTCAAATGAAGAGATTTTGAGTTGAAATTTGGCGCATGGGTGTAAGGTGTTGAATCATGTGAAGGGTTTAGATCTAGTGTAGGACATGTTGAACTTAGTCTTTTCAGTATTGTTCAGTTGGGACCATCAAAATGGAATCTTGGCAGTTATTGGATTTCATTTTTAGTTAAGTCAAGTTTTGAATATTGCATCGGAACCATCAAAAGGGAATGTAGCATGATGAATAATGATTTTTTTGGATTTTGGTCATGACATTTGATGTGCAACTAAGTTTTGTTTCCTCAAGTCTAGAGGTTACACCATTCTCATTGATTGAAACCATTGAAAGGGATAGTGGTTTTGTGGAAATGGAATGTGAATTTTGCGTATCTTGGATGTTTATTGATGTGATCTGATTGAGTGTTTGATGTTTGGATGGTGTCAAAATGAGGATAATGGATTTGTTTTCATGTTTTGGGGTCTTGAAAGTGGGTTCAGAGATGTAGGATGAAGGGACCGAGCAAAAATTGGGTGCTGACACAATTTTCATCTATATTTCTTTCTCTTCCTTCTTATGGCTCTGTATTGTATGTAGGATTGGCTGATTTGGTGGACATATGATCAACCACCAAATCCCATCCCAAAATTCAGGCAATCAACCATAGAAACTGCCAAGATTCCATTTTGATGGTCCCAATTGAACAAAACTGAAAAGACTAAGTTCAACATGTCCTACACTAGATCTAAACCTCTCAATTCTAGAGTTTGCTTCAAGCTGCTGACATGTATTTCATCAAGCCTCCCCCAAGACATCCCAAAGTAGACTACGATACACCATTTATACCATCTATCAAAGTTCAAGTTGAAAACCCAATCAAACGGCCTTTTAATTTGTATCGTGTGCTGGGTAACATGGTAAAATTGTTTGGTCAGTAATCCCATTGGCTTTCATTGATTGGTCCAAATTCCTCTTGCTCATGGGTTGGCTAGAAGAGCCTGATTCACCTAAATGCATACCTGATGTGCCGTGCTGCTTTAAAGTTTATGAAGATTCCTTTTTTTTTTGATAAATGAACTTAAAATTTTATTAAAATTATTCAGAAGCCATTACAAGGGACTGAAGTGCAACCTCTCATGCCTTTTCTATTTCTTCTGAAATTATAGTTGTCTGTTTCCTAGGCTTGCTTTTCACCTACTAGACAAATCTCTTTTTTGTCTTTCATCATTCAATTGTATTGAAAGTGGCTTCAATAAATGCACCACATTTCTCTTAAAAAGAATTCAAAAGAAACCTGCGTTGAAAAATGGAAGTTTGAGAGTCATTCATATCAATATGAGAGGATCCCTATACATGCTTCCATAGCCATACATCTGAATTTCAATCTTTTCTGATTACTGAAAGTGAAATTGTAAAAATATGAAAAATGAATATAGTGGTAAGTACAATTTCCAAGTTTTTTTTTTTTTTTTTTATTCATGAAACTAGAAAACAGGTGGTAGCCCATCCCCCAAACCTATAATCCCCCAACCCTGGCGAAGGTGGGATTCGATCTCAAGTCTCCACTACAACTGGTCAGAGACCTTACCTACTGAGCCTGTTGGCACCTTCAATACAATGCCCAAGTTAAACATTAAAAATAAAGTGGCCTAGAGAATAGAGATTTATAGGCCCAAAGTAAGGTTTCTGTATGAGAAAATGCTCATAAGGCACCCTCAACCTGGTTAGTTAGATCCACAAAAAGGATAATCTCTGATCACTTTATGGCATGATGACATGCAATGGAATTAGCTGATTTAAGAACCAATGGAGTGACCAGGGGTCTTTCCTTGATAATTTGGTAACTTGGCCTCCAGAGTCACTTGGAGTGTTTCTCATCCACGCATTTGGTCAGTCTCTGTGGATTGTAAACTTTTAAATCCCTTTGAAAAGGATGGTTGAAGTCTTCAAAAAGGAGATATGAGCTCTGATTAATCACTGATCGCTAATTGATCCAGAAATGAAAATTATTAATTCTATCCCTGAATATCTCCTATGTTTGAATTCTGCACTTCATGGATGGACATCCATTAAACTTCTGTTTAATTTATTGTTCAGTTCAAGTAGTCCAAATATAAAACAACAAGGTCTGAGTGGGAAAGAACTAGCAACTGGAAATTCCTCTCTGATCACTGAATAGTCAACACCCTTGTTAGGATCTTCAGTGCCCGCATCAACTCACCCAGTGGATAACTCTTATGGTGGCCAACTGACTTGCTGCTTGCCAAAGGATCTTCAATGTCTACACCCAGATGATCACTCTTATGGTGGCTAAGTCAACTACTTCTTGAAATGAATGTGCTCAATTTCTGAACAATCCTAATATTTCTCTATTCTCCATAGAACTTTATATGACATGGTTCTTCATATGATTTTACCACGGATACTGAAAGGTCAGAGGTACTAATTACCAGAATACCAGCATATACCAAGAGAGTGAAGTTTATGTTTTCCTGTGAAATCTTATTGTCTGTGATGAGTTGCAATTAATTGTATGACTGAATGTTCTACCATACAGAATCAACACATTAATGTTTTGGGTTTAGCCTTTTTCTTTGCATCTTTTTATGAGCTAGTTTTATTTTGATTCTTATGTTAACTCATTTACTACTTTCTAGTTTCTTGGTTAGTCTGTAAGAAAGTCAGCACTTGGGGGGTTAGTCTATGAACATGGTAAGTACTATAATACTGCAATGATGAAGCCCACCTGTTGTAAAGGAAAATACCCCATTCCCCTAACACAAATAAGAAATAAAAAATAAAATTAAACTTTCTTTCACACATGATGGTCCTTCAGGATGCCCTTTTAGCAAGACAATTTACCATATCTGGAGAATGGAGATCATCATGTTTTGAAGTTGAAGGTTCACAACTGCTAGTGTGCATTATCTTATCCAGTTTCCTTGGTGATATGTTTCAGAAAACCTTATTTCTCTCATGGAATGTTTTTTTCAGAAGGAAGTGCTAGCGAATCTGATGATTACAATGAAAGACATGATGCTGCAGAGGAGGAAACAGACGATGATGATAATACTTTCTTTGACACACGGGATTTTCTCTCATCAAGCTCCTATAACAGCAGCAGTGGGTCTGATTTCCAGAGATCATCAGTTGATTCTGATGATGAAGAACCTTATGCTTGTGATTCTGAGGGCAGTATTGATAGTTCAGTTAAGTTTGCTGGAACTAACTATCCTCGTATGAGGAGGCGCAAGAAATTGCCTGACCCAGTTGAAAAAGAGAAGGGAGTTAGTCTATGGTCATTGATTAAAGATAACATTGGGAAGGATCTGACAAAAGTTTGTCTTCCTGTCTACTTTAATGAGCCACTCTCTTCATTGCAAAAATGTTTCGAAGATTTGGAGTATTCTTACCTAATAGACCAGGCAAATGAATGGGGTAAAAGGGTAAGTTATCAATAGGAATTTAATGACATCTCATTTTATTTCCAAGAAGTGGACATGCATATATTTATATATGCATATGCATACGTAATATAAATGCCATGCATGCATATTGCCTATTGCATTTATTCTATCTTATAAGGTAAGTATCGATTTTGATTAATTTTCTGCTATATGCAAACTGCAAGGTTGTTTGCTCCATAATCATCTTTATGTATCCTTAAATTATTGGAAGTATGTACTCATTGCATTCTTGTTAAACCAAGTGTTTTTTAGAAAGAGTTAATTATATTCAAAAGGACAAAAGATGAGTGTACATAAGAGGATGTACAAAGAACACAAATATATGCAGGTGAAGCACAGCCAATAAAAAAGCTACTTGGGCATAATGTTGTCACTTTACAATCGAGACTTCTTAACCCCCTGCTTTAGCTAATCTTTCATATCTAATCTGGGTATTCAACTAATAGTTACTCTAGTTCCGTCAAGGAAATGTTATAGTCTCTGAAGCCCATTGCTCATGCTTTGAGACCATATGATAGCTTTTCTTGAATCTGTTTCAGTTGTTGTTGATGTGATTTGGAGAAACTTGACTGTTCTGAGATGGGCTTCGTTGATGTGTAAAATTATCACTGTTAGTTATGCTTTGAGACCATTGCTCATGCTTTGTTGATGTGTAATTAATCAAAGTTCCATGATGAATTTGAATGAATATCAGTTTAATGGTTACCGATTGGATGATACTAGTTGATTTGGTCATCAGTTTTTCAGGTATGATACCTTTTAAGTATCATAATCAGGCTCTTTGCTGATTTATGTACTTTTCTGTTTGTGTTTTGGTTTTTCTCTTTAATAAGGGATTTTGTTTTGCTTTTCTTTGTTGTTATGCATTGTAGGAAAAACCATTTGAAGTGGCTTGCTCTAACGATTGTTTTTACTCCCTTGTTTATACAACATCCTTCACTCTTCTCTCTCTCTCTCTCTCTCTCGTTGTTCCAAAGGTTCGAGCCTGCATGCTTGTTACTCCAACATCTTGATTCCACTGAATACTCCTTTTCCATTCCATGGTGGGGGCCTTGATCAGGGTTTAAAATGTCAGTGTTGGTGGAAATGTTGGTCATCCAAATATAGGAAACATGTTGGAAATGTCAGAAATATCAATCGGAAACATTGTAAAAATTATGGGCATGGTGGAAACATTGTGAAATATACACAAATACCGAATGGTATTTTATGAAATGATAGAAGAAGCATAGGGCACCTTTTTAAATTATTATCTTGTTCTAAATCATTAAACAAAATGAAGAAACTAAGGGTATAGGCAAAATAATACATTGTGAAGTTGTCCTATAAAGCTGGCTCAAAGTGGTAATCATGTTGTGAGGTGGGCAATAACATTGTTACTCCAAATATCTATAATATTGTCACCAACTTATGTTATAATACTCTCTTATAGTCCACATATTGCCAAAAGTGTTCACTGGGGAATACGTTGATTCCAGTAAAATTTCGTATCAGTACCCATAGAAATGGAAATATTTGGAAATTTATGGACATTTCCTTGAGATCTACTGTCTTACATTGTCTGAAATTTTAGAGTATGCATGTTCAAGTGTATTTATTTCTTGTGGAATTTTGATGAAAGATTAGAACTTTGGTTATGTGCAACCTAGATGTCATAGAAACTGGTTAAGTTAGTAGAGGTAGGAAAGTGGCTTGGAGCATTATTCCAAAAGCTATATTCTAGGCAGTATGGGGGAAGAGAAGTTCTTGGATGTTTGAAGGAAAACAGAGCTCAGTTGAGGAGATTACAAAGAAGGTGATGAGCATGGTATTTTCTTGGTTGGTAAATCATACATCTTTTAAAGAAATTACAATATTTTCTTGGTTGTAAAGTTTTAAGAGTTTGGTTGTATACCATTTGTACAGTCTCATAGTACATGGAATTTTATACTTTTTGATTGTAATAAATGAATGCTTTGCCTTGTTTCCAAATAAAATTCTAGTCAGCAACACCAATAACCAGTAACCAGCTATTGTTTTATATTATGATTTAAAATGTCAAAATATTTCCTAATATTTCTATGACATTTCCATTTCCATGTGTGCTGACACAAAATATTACTGGAATTGACATATTCCCCTTGAGTACATTAGATTGACATGATGACTGTTTTGATCCAGTATTATTGCAGATATGTGGATTAGCAGTATTATTGACCATTTAATGGAGATGATGACCTTTTCGAACCAGCCCAAAATTCTCTTTGAGATCAATGTTAAATCTTCGTTTTTGTTTGTATAATAGGTTATTTGGTTTAGCTATTAGAGAATTGTTTGCATTTTCTGTTAGTTTATTTTGCTCGATCTTTATTATGTAGTTTTAACTCTTAAAGTTTATAAGAGAATTTCATAGCATGTTAATTTGTCTGTTAGTCTTTCTTGGCTTTGTTTTATGATTTTTAACAGGATAATAATCTAAAAGGGTGTACTTATGCTTCTATCATTTCATAAAATATTATTCATAGTTTCGCAGGGTGCCAAGGTGAGGCTGGGTGACAGGGTGCGCCTTGTCACATAGTTGCCTAGGCAGGCACTTAGGTGTTGCCTAGGTGATGGATTTTTTTTTTCAATAAAAATCATGAATCTTWTTTTTTTTTCATCTTTTTGAGAGAAGGTAAAGCAAAGAATTTATTAGAGTAAAAACCATGAATACTATTGTTATTCTCTAGGTTCCATAGCAACCAGCAACCATCTTTCATCAATAATTRTCTATAATCTTCATAAAAAAGTATGAACTTAATATTAAAACATAGACAATCAACATATTCATGAGAGGTAAAAGAAAGAAAAGAAAATTCATAAATTAATAGGGTCTGACCCCTATATTTTTGATAGGTACAACAGATGAGTAACCCAGCTACCAGCACTAGCTAGACTATGAAAATGCTTTTACATTGTTCCCTAAAACATTTTCTCCCTATTTACCCCTTGTCTGGCTAGAGCATCAGCCAGTCCATTTGCTGATCTTTGAATCCATGTAAATCTTGTGTTTAAATCTCTAGAAAGCTGCCTGATTCCCCTCACCATTTGTCTGAACCACCATGAGCTGAGCCTATTAGTTTACAGCCAACTTTAGACAGTCTTTGAATCACCTTCCAAATGGAGGTTTGTGATGCCGAGGGACCTGCTGTATCTTAAGCCATGCATTAAAGCTATCAGCTCTGCTTTCACTGACTTYCCTTGACTTGTAGGTCCTCAATAGATGCTCATAATGTCTTCATGGTTTATAAATATCCACTCTCCACCTGGGTTCCCAAGGCTACAGCCATCTAAGTTTAATTTCACCCAATCTACTATAGGGGCATGCTAATCAAGGATAGGTGAATGAACTGCAGATGATGAGTCAACTACCAGTCCCCATCCCCTATTTTTGTCCTAGGAAAAGAAGAAAAGAAGAATCTGTTGATTGGACAGAACTTTAAGTTCTGCCTTGCTTATTGGTTCAGGTTTTGAAGTCTTTGAGTTTTAATACAGTATACACCAACATGTGTGTTAATTGAATCCTAACAAATAGGAAAAAAATAAAAGAAACTAGTATATAAACCCACAACATGAATAATTTAGTTTAATAATGGTTTTATTATTATAATCTCAAAAAATAAAGAACATACAAGTATTTCATAGGGCCATGAACAAAATTCATAGGCGATTAGCCACCTTCTATGGGCACCTTTTCATCTAGGCAATTGCCTTGACAACTATGATTTATTGTATATTTCCACATATTTCACAATGTTTCTACCATGTCAATAATTTTTACACATTTCCATATGGAATTTTCAACATTTTAGACATGTTTCCTATATTTGGAAAACCAATATTTCCATCAACATCAACATATATTTTGAAGTTAATAACAAACAGATTAACAATGTAATCATAGTTATTCAAGGGCAAAGAGGTGTAACCACATTCAATTCTGACTATGGATTGATTCCAATGTAATTTTAGCCTATATTTGTAATCGTTTTTCACATCATTAGGAAACATCCTGTACCTGTTTTTGTACTTGTTTCTATTATCAATTATAGTTGTCCTTGTTTTGGAATTGGGTGTATCAAGTTTGTGATAGCATCTATTTGTTTTATCCTTATTCTGACTTGTTTTCTCTTTATGTGTAAATGATAAATTATACTAATAATTTTATTTTTATCACTATTGTCAATGTGATGTTGCAATAGAGGGCCTCACTCTTGGGGCCTTAAGTCCATATCAAATTGGCTACATTAGTGCCTGCATGCTACATGACTATAGTAGCTTCTCTCTATGGAAGTTCATTTACAATTGGCCCATAACCAACCCTGTAAGAAGCACACTCCAATAGGCACAATGCAAAAAACACCAAAAAGATAAAATTGGTGTATTTGTAATTTTCTTTCTTGCTTTATACAACAATCTAACCTCATATAATCTTTGAAGTTTGACATCTGTTACTTTGTTATAGCTGAGAGGGCACTAGTCCACCTCTTTTGGTTAGTGACACATTAATCAGAGGACTGGAATCTAGCAGTGAGACTTTGCTTTACTAGTTTTGTAACTTAAAGCAGCTAGTCACCTTGTGTTCCGTGCCACCTGAATCATAATGATTAATTGTTTTGGCCCTTAGGCAATGTGGCAGCTAGTTGGTGCCTTTGTGCTGACTAGTTGACCATGAAAAGTTATGTTTTAAATTTAAGATAATTATGCAATGTCATATTTAATCTAATTAAGGTTTCAAATATGCAATGAAAGATAATCAGAGGGAGTGACAGTTTGTCTCTCAGAGGAGTATATGACCTTGACTATCTGATGTTGCCCCCTTGTTTATGACAACTTCATATTAACATTGTTTTTTTTTTTTGTATTTGATTCCAAAGATTAGGTTGTCATTCTTTATTCCCTGGATAGCAAGAGATTGGGAAGAGATGCCAACTTTGTGTTGTTGTGTGGTAATGATTCCATGGTCATGATTCAAGTTTGATCATGTTGAAGTTTGACCTGCCATAGAATTCTGTCTTGTTCGTTGACTGTAGAGTAAAGTAGACAGCAAGAAGTAGGAGAGGAAAGAAAAGAGAGAAGAGAGAAAAGAGAGAAAGGCTGGTTCGAATTAGGGAAAAAAGTTAATCCCTTGATTCGGCCAGACCTATTATTATATTATTGACTTATTGAAAAAGACTTGAGTGCCCTTCTTTAAGTAAGAGGCACTCGAACTAACATAACARTACACATCAGCATTCTCAACAAGTACAAAGACTGAAATACCCCTTCACTAACACCACTAACAGATCATTTTGTAATCAATGGGGGAGCCTGCTTTATGATGACTGTTGTGAATCAGCCCCTCTATCTTTGTACTTCTGTGGTTTGAAGGAATCTCTCTCTCTTTTAATGAAATTTCTTTGTACCTTAACAGAAAAAGGAAAAAAAAAGATTCCATGGGGAGATGCTGACAGGGAATGATGGTTTGATGGGAGTTGATAAGTGAAAGGACTCAGTTTTGTTTTTGTTTCTGTTTTTTGTTTTTTGTTTGTGTGCATGTGTGTGTGTGTGTCTTGTTTCTTGCATTGACTTTTCTATATTATTTTTTTTTCTAACTTGACTGCTTTTTCTGGATGTTTTTATTCCTTAACCTACCAAAAAATGACTAGATAATTCACCAGCTGTGTGGAATTATCAAAATGACATATTAAAAAACAATATTAAGACACACAAGGATCTTGACTAGAGTGTAAAAAGACAATCCTTCATTCCATTTATCCATTTGAATGGAGGGATCTATGTACTGAGAGAGCCAATTTTGTTAGAAACATTTTATATTTTTATCTTTTAGATGTTTGAATCTGAATGATTCAACTCCTTAAACATTTATACTTTGCACTCAAGTTTTTTGTTAGTAAAATAAAAAACAAATTATTAGGAACTATTCTTGTGGAAAGACATGATACCAGAAGAGCTTTGACCAATCAAACCACCCTGTGAATTTGATAAATACTGCCTAATTGGTTACTACCTTTATTTTACAGGTTCATTGGTTACATGTTTTTCCGATGTCATAGTCGAACTCAATTTATTAAGATTAAGATACAGAAAACAAGTACAATATCAGTGAAGGGTGATTAAAAGGCACCCAACAAGAAATAGATAAATAGAACAAAACTTTAAAACAAATTACATATCAACTATCAACATGCCAGATCTCTAAAGTGGTCCAAAATTGATAATACAATATGGCGGCTCAATTTCTAGCTTTGATATGGCATACTGTTCAATATTCATTCAAGAATACAATATAATTGCAGTTTTTTTTTTTTTTTTTCTTTTCAGATCCTTTTAATCATTTCCCCCACTTCTAATTCACTTTCTTTATTGGTGAAACTTGTAGGGTAATAGCCTTATGAGGATTCTAAATGTAGCGGCATTTGCTGTGTCAGGATATGCATCTACAGAAGGAAGAAATTGCAAACCCTTCAATCCACTATTGGGAGAGACATATGAGGCTGATTTTCCAGATAAAGGTCTCCGTTTTTTTTCAGAGAAGGTTGCATCTTCACGGCTAGAAACCTCTTAAAAATATTTCCACATTGCATTATGTAGGTCTCAACTTGCTTTATATTCTTAGTTATTCCTAATTTGCTAAAAACCTATTAATTTTCTAACATGGGAAGAAATTCTGTCTTAGAGAACAAGTAATGAAAAAAAAACTCGATGCTGGGATCATATTATTAACCATGGTCTGGAAAATGAAATTTAGTGTTTGGGCTGCCATTGCACTTGTGGAAGGAGGTGATAATAAGAAAAATTGGAGACCTATGTGGCAGTTATATTTGCATAGACAATATCATACTCGGGATCGAGTTCAGTGAGGAACTCGAAGACCCGATTTCGCTCCACTATATATGAGTCTCGACATCTTTAGTACACCTCAACACAACAGTTTGTAGAGAAATAAACAACCAAAGGTTGATTATGTTCACATCCACTACATATCAGTCTCTCGACATCAAGTCAATCTCCTGCCAAAGAAATTTCAGCATTGAGAAATAAACAACCAAAGGTTTCTCCCCTTGTCTTAAATTGTTCACATCACTCATCAGTTTGTAGGCCCTGACAACTTTCAACTTCTAGGAATAGGTCTCTATAGCACTGCCCCATACCTCTTTTGCAATTCCCATCTGCAAGTAATGCTGACTGATATGAGGTTGCGTGGAATTCACTAACCAGCCCTACTACAGTGTAGTTTTTTTTGAGATGAAGGATAAAAAAATTTCATTAAACTAGAAAATGGTACATGGAAGGATGTACAACAGGAAGCATACACAGATTACAAAGGCATTTCTCTCACTATGTAAAAAGTCTCTATTGGCACCCGATTTAGCCAACCAGTCTGCTACTGAGTTTAGCTCTCTGGGAATCCAGACCAGATTAGCATTTAAGGTTTCTCGAAGATCCCTAGCTTCGTCCAAGTAATGAGTGAGCCTCCATGGTCTTCCGTTCTCTCCAATCCATCCAATGGTGTTTCTCGAATCTCCTTTGATGACAAGGGAATACAATCCAAGGTTTCTTGCAATCCAGAGACCAGTTAGCACTGCTAACACTTCAGCCTTTGTAGAGTCTGCCATCCCGATTGGCTTACTGTAAACCCACAGTAAATTCCCATCCCTTCCCTTCCCTTAAACACGCCCCCAATCCTAGCTAAACCAGGGCTCCCAAGAGCACTTCCATCAAAGTTCAGAGTCACCTCCTCTTCTACTCTTGGCTGGGGGATGCTTGTTGCTTTTAAAGAAGCTGGAGTAGAATGCAAGATCTCTGTTGTGCTTCTTTGAAGGTCACTCAAGGAAACACCTTTGAACTCCTCTGAGTTCAGCGCCCAAATGTTACACAAATGAAAGATATGAGATAATAAATCACCCAAAGTTTTTGCTTTATTGTTGAAGATTTGGTTATTTCTCTCCTCCCAAATCCCCCACAACTGCTTGAACCACAGTGCGCTAATACACTATTCCCCTTTTTCCAAGACCTCTTCCTTGCCATTGCCAAAAGAGGTCTTCAATATGTTCAGGAAAGACCCAGCTGTATCATACTAGGTTTAGGAAGAAGCACCAAATTTTCCTTGTTTCTGTGCAATGTAGAAGATGTTCAGCCATCTCACCATTCTTGAGGCACATTATACAAGTGTGGGGGGAGATGTACCATCCGCCTTTGTTTTTCTGCTGTAACAAGTCACAAGTGTTAATTCTTTTTTTTTTTTTTTTCAGACAAACCTTCCACACCAAGGAGGAAACTCTAGAAGGAATGTTGGAAATCCAAATCCGTTTGGCAGGGAACTTATAGTTGCTGACTTTTGAAGTTAGAATCCTGGAAAAAGATTTGGTTGAGAACTTCCCAGCTGGGTGAGGTTTCTAGATTCTTTGGTCCAATTTTGAGGGGGACAAGTAGACCTCCCTTAAGGGCCTTCTAAAGCTTAGGTTCCAGTCGGGTGAGTGAGGATACTTGGATACAGGTTGCAACAGTGGCATTTTGGGCTTGTGAAAGGTTAAATAATCGAGGATAGGAATTGGCTAAGGAGTTGTCCCCCCACCACAAGTCAGTCCAGAATTTAATTTTTTACCSATTACCTACTTTATATCTAATAGAGGAAATAAAAGTGTTGTAGACAGAGGAGATACCTTTCCAAGGGTGCTGGCTACATTCCAATGGAAAACTCCRTAACCATTCTCCAGAAGAGCTACATTCATTTCTACTATTGGGTCCCAAAAATATAAAGCTCTTGGATTTCCTCCTAGAAGCATTCCCAAATAAGATATAGGAAACTCTTCCACTTTGCAACCTAAAGCTTCTTTAAGGCTAATCATCAGGCTGTCACTTGTGTTTATTCCCACAATGCTACTATAGGAAAAGTTAACTTGCAACCCTAACACCATCTTGGAGCAATTAATTATTCCTTTTAAGGTGTTGATGTTTTCCAAATCAGCTTCAAGGAATAAGATTAAATCATTTGCAAAAAGTTTGCAAATGATTTACAGGAAAAGCTTCTCTACCAACCTCAAATCCTCTCAACAGGTTGTAACTAGATGCCTTCTCAATAAAATAACTTAGGACATCTTCTACCAGTGTAAGGAGGAGCGAGGATAGGGAGCAGCCTTGTCTGAGTCCCCGGCTGGCCTGAAAATAACCTTTAGGTTCTCCGTTTACCAAAACCGAGAACCAGGTGRAACTGATACACCCTTTCATTCAACTCACCCATCTTTCTCCAAATCTCCTTAGTCCCATAATGTTTAGAAGGCACTCCCAGTCAGTTTTGTCATATGCCTTCTCCAAGTCCAGCTTGACTATCACTCCAGATTTACCAGAATGTCTTCTTTCTTCCACGCATTCGTTAGCCACCAGAATGCTGTCTATAATTTGCCTTCCTCTCACAAAAGCATACTGATTTCTGGAAATTAGGTCCCCCAACACCTCCCTTAACCTTCTTGCTAGAACCTTGGCTAGTATTTTGTAAAGACTTCCAAGGACCCTTTCTTCTTTGGGATTAAGGTAATGAAAGTAGAGTTGTTACCTTTGTTTACTGTGGCTGAGTTGAAGAAATTTGTAAATACTTCCAGCAAATCAGATTTTATTGTTTCCCAACAAATTTGGTAAAAAAGAAGGGGGAATCCTTTTGGTCCAGGGGCCCTATCACCATCCGTGTTAAAGACAGCTTCCTTGACTTCATATTAATCAAACTCTCTCTCCAACCACATGTCCACATCTGCTTCTCCTCAGTTAGAACAGAACTGTCCCAGCTATTCAAGAAACACAACTTGTTAGTGCTTTTGGTCATTTGGTGTAGAGCTCATTAAAGAAATTTCTCAAATTATCTGCAATCTCTACTGGATCCTCCACTTCTCTCTGATTCACCTTTAACTTAGAGATATAGTTTTTCCTTATTCTTCCTGAAGCAAAACTGTGGAAGAACCTTTTGTTACTATCTCCTTCTTTTAACCATTTTACTCTAGACCTTTGCCTCCAATAGACTTCCTCTCTCCTAATTATCTTTTCCCAATCATTCCTCAAGGTCTCCCTCCGACTTCTACCTTCATTGTCTAGAATTCCATTCTGCTCATTTGCATCTAGTGCCTCCAAATCCTGAATTAAAGAAGCTTTTTCTTCAAAGAAAGCTTTAAATTCCTCTTTGCCCCACACCTTTAATTTCCTTTTTAAGTATTTCAGTTTTTGCAGAAAGCAAAAGCCAACCCATCCTTCTACCTTGCACTCCTCTCACCATTTGGCTATATTCCCCTTGAAGTCCTTATGAAAATTCTACACTTTCTCCAGCCTGAAAGGGCGTTTTCCTTTTCTTAACACTTGTAGAGCAATTGGCCAGTGATCTGAGGTGCATCTGGTTCTGATTTCCTGGAATAAATTTGGGAAATGCTCCTCCCAATCTGCAGATAATAGAAACCTGTCCAGTCTACATCTGATTGAGTTTTCCTGTAAATTACTCCAAGTGAATCTCCCATTATGTAAAGTAAAATCATGTGGATAGTGTCTTGCAATAAACCCAGAAAAATCCCTCCCATTGGAACTCTCGTGACTGAACCTGGTGCATTGAACTCACCTCCTACACACCAAGCTATATCATCAGCCTCATGCATAGAGACTAGTTCATCCCAAAACCTTGATCTATCAGAAGGGGAGTTGGGCCCATATGCCCCTGCCAAAATCCAAGTGAAACCATCTGAAATGATTTTAAACAACACTGAAATAGAAAATTCTCCAATGTCCACTTCTATACCTGACACCACCTCTTCTCTCCAGGCTACAAGGATCCCTCCCGCTGACCCTGTAGCTGGCAGAGTTGCCCACTTCCTTCCCTTAATTCCCTAGATGGCTTTAACTAACTTCCTTTCCACTGATTCTTCTTTTTGTTTCCTGAGTAATGATGTCTGTATTTTCCCTCTTGAGTGTTTCTTTGACCAGATTTCCTTTTAAATCCCCTCCCAAACCCCTGACATTCCAGCTTAGGATCTTCATTAGGAATCTGACAAGCATTTTCCCTTACTTGCTCTACCCCATGTGCCTTTGTGTGTCTCCACCACTTGATCAACCAGTCCCCATTGTAACCTTCTTAGTTCTCTGTTTGTTCCCTTCTTTTTTCCCACCTCTGCCTTAATCCCAGTTCCCATAATTCCATTTCTTTTTGGGTCTTCCTCTTCCCCTCTGGCTTCCATGTTTCTATTGGAGTGCTCTATTCCCAAACTTCTAGCTAAATCATTATGCCTCGCCTCTTTGGTGTCATCCTAATTCTTTTTCGAAGGTAGGTCCATGTGGGTCATCTCCTCCTTGGTTGTTTAAGAACCCTGGGACACTTGCTTTCGGTTGGGATAGCCGATCACTTGAACCTATACAGCAAAAAGAAGGTGCTTCAGGGCATACAAGAGAAGTGGCATTTGAAGGAGAAAAGGAAGTATTAACAAGACTGGGAATAGGGTAGTGAGAAGAGCCTGGATTGGGACGAAAAGCTGAGGCCGGGGAAGGACCACTTCTTTTTTTCATGTG